CTGCTTTAATACAAGCTTATAAGGTTTTTCCATGGACTATTGAGTTATTATCGCGGGATAATCAGTCATCTGATTGTGTCTCCATTGTGTTCGTGTCTGAATGGTTTAAAGGGCTGCTTTCTGTGCCGTTCCATCTTAGTCATAACAGACATAAACATGCAGTAAATAAATCGATTTTCAATCAGTTTTTTGCACCAAAGCGTTAATAATAATAAACACGTTTTATTATTATAAAACATAATGGTGGTAGAGGGCCGCACTGGATTAACTCGGGGAATCTCATCTGTCCGTGTATCAATCAACACCAAACCTCTTTGTTCTGTCACAATTATCGATTTATTTAATTTTGATTATCATGCTCCAATCTTTGCGAGGACTGACCACCGCGATCACCCGCTTCCTCATACACACAGAGCCAGCAGCGTCACCTTCCCATTCATACTTCATGATGTCACTCCCACATCGACACGCCCACCACCAGGTGTCAAAGCCGCTGCTCCTGTCATATCAATAATTACTTATTTCATTCATTGCACTTATAGAGCCTCAGTGAAAACGTGTTTATTATTATTAACGCTTTGGTGCAAAAAAAACTGATTAAAAACTGATTGAAAATCGATTTATTTACTGCATGTTTATGGCCGTTAGGCTAAGACGGAACAGCACTGAAAGCAGCCCTTTAAACCATTCAGACTACAAACACAATAGAGACACAATCGGATGACTGATTACCCCGCGATAATATCTCAATAGTCCATTGAAAAACCTTATAAGATTGTATTAAAGCAGAAAGTACGGCAGACGCCGTAAAAAAAGGCTTACAGTATTTAATTATGCCGCATGAACTGATCAGTAGATTGTTGCGAGCGAACGCAAAACCTTTTGCTAGGGGACGCAAAACTTTTGCTAGGGAACGCAAAAGTTTTGCGAGGGAACGCAAAAGAAAAAAAAAATCCTCATGTCCCTTGGAGGGCTCCATATTATGTTCCCTGCACCTTTTAAATAAAATATATAATTATTATTATAAATACTGCTGACACAAACAAGTACGTTGCCATGGTTATTGCCCCACGTGGTGGCAGACCTTCGGGTATTTATACTAATTTACATATATATTTATCGGTGGCGACAGGCGGACCAGCAATTTGCGCTCAATTTACCACAAATTGAGATGTAAAAAGGAAAGGTGCGCGGCCACGTGCATGCGCACGGCTTTATACATCTGATTTTTTTGTGCGCCACACTTTCAAAATTTTTCCGTATGCCAAGTTTTAGTGTGAAAACTGCACACTCTTTTATGCATGAGGCCCCTGACCATTATAGATGGGAAAATATGCCAATGCGGGCCTGTGACCATCAACCAAACTGCGCCACTGTGACCAGGAAAATTCAACTGCAGTAGGTGCCATTCTACGGCCCCATATAGGGGAAAGGTGGGCAGACATATGGGTCCCATATAGGTTTGTTCGCTGTTCCACGGTGGCCCCACATGGGTTTGCCCATGTAGGGCCACAGCCTATGTGGGCCCTACATGGGCCCTAAATGGGCAAAGCCATGTGGGCCCAGCACCATGTAGGGCCCATGTGGGCTGTTGCCCTACATGGGCAAACCCATGTGGGGTCACCATGGAACAAACCCATATGGGACCCATCTGGTCTGCCCTCCTTTTCCCCATATGGGGCCCACCTGGGCATGCTGGCAGGGATATAGCAGAATTAAACTAACGTACATAAAATGTTACAATTTGCACAGAAACAAATTCGGCCATTTTGCAGATATAAGTTAGGGAGCAACCTATATCTGCAAAAACGTTTGGTTATTTAGTTTCTCTGAAAAAGTGCTTCTGCAAATTGTAAATTCAGGTGGAAAAGTTCAATGCATGGAAATAATGTTGCAAGATGTCATTCCCAAATTAAAGTTGTTTGTGGATATTTACGGCAGTCAGAGTAAATGCGCCATTTTGTGGTTTGTATTTCCCAACAGAAAAAGGAATTTGTGTTTCTGCTTCTAGTGTAAAGCCATTCATATGTTTGTGTGGCATAAGTCTGTGTATGTGTTTGACCTGCATCATCAATTGCAGTCAAAAGCAGCTGTACAATTCAGGATTATATATGCCCAATTTGTACAGCGCTGTCTTTATTCCCATTTCGTTCACACAAGGCCCATTAGCCAGTGTGTGTTTCTATGTGTGCTTGTATGCCTGAAGCACCTGGTGTCTGACAGTTTCTAACCTAATGGAAGTAAAGCACAGCTGTAAAACCACTGGCCTGTGCTATATATCCGCCTGTACAAGTCTCTTGCTAACAGCTTTCACACCCCTGCTTTCACGCACACATATAGAACAACGTACTCATTTATAGACACATACAGAATCAGGCACACGAAAACAGGCAGTCATATCGCAGCTAATGGTTCGATAACTTAACGAGAATGTTTCGGAGGGGAATTGGAGCACATAGGGGAAGCAAGTGGGGTTTCAGGGGCAAGGTAATGTAAACTGCAAGGCGTAATCCAAGGAAGGGAAACAGCCATCAGATGTAACAGCCTGTCTTAAGCCAGGGAGAAATGTGTGTCTGTATGATGATTATGTGTGTGTGCATGTGTATGTGTTTGCACATATGGCTCTGATTATGTTTGCTGAACTGCTTACAGCAAAGCCAGAGGCTGACCAGCACAGCCTGTGCGCTTAACTGGTCATGTGAAGGCTGCAGGGCTTTAATCACGGGTGAAGTTTGAGGGCAGAGAAGGGGAAAGGAGATGAGTAAAAGATAGAAGCATGAAATAATTGAGGCCAAAGGACATGTTGTATAAAAGGTAGAAGTTTGAAGATTGGGTGGGAAAAAATTTGAGAAGTGGTTCAAAATGTCAACATAAAAAATGAGGAGACAGTTTGGAGAGATTGAAGCCGAGCAAAAGCACTGAGGAATCATACTGCCTTTCTCAAAATAAAACGCCAAGGTCTTTGCTCGTTTTATACTAGAGTTGATTTAACTATCTTATGCTGTCATATTGTGTTGCTCATCTACTGTAACTGAGCTTATGGACTGAGGTTGAATAAGGTCAAATTTTCCAAAATATAAAATCCACCTCCCTTGAGCTCCAAAGTTTTCTTGTTTGTAAGCATGGACTTGAGAATACTGAAATGTTACAATTCAATTACAGTTCTGTTGCACAGCATTACGTCACACTGATTAAGTAATACCAAAAGATCTGGATCAATTTGTTCTACCATTTCATACTTAAACACCCAGAAGATGTTCTGTTGTATCTGGCACTGAGATGTTAGCAGCAGTTCCTTTAAGTCCAGTAAGCTGTGAAGGGAGAACTTCATGGATCTGACTTGTTTGTTCAGTACATACCCACAGATAGTCAAATGGATTTAGATTTACCAAGTCAACCCCTCAAACTATTCTAAAACAAATCCCACAGATATCAGAGAATGCAGTTCCCAGGAAAGAGGGGAATATTTAATGTGCAGAAATATTTAGCGAGGCTGTTACAGGCGATGTAACCTCTCAAAGTTTTCCAGCAGAACATTGCAAAATATATCACACCTTCTCTTCTGTCTTGGGTTTTGCCAGCAGTGCAGCTTTGTTCCAGTAAGCGATGCACACACACTTATCATCGAAGTAAGACAAAATGTTATTCATCAAACCAGGCTAACTTCTTTTAGTGCTTTGTAGTCCAGGTCTGATGCTGATGCACCCATTGTTGGTTCTTTCCATGGTGGACAGTGCTCAGCACCTATTGATATGAAGATACATAATATTAAACCACACAACCCAGCCTACGCTCCTCACATGTGTCAGTGAACCTTGGCCACCCATTAGCCTGTATCCAATTCTCCACTGTTTCTTTCTTGGACTGCTTTTAAAGGGTGAGTATTATGAAAAATTGACTTTTATAAGCTTTATATCATGTCACAATGTTATTTCCTCATGAAAATCGTAGCTGGAATGTTGCTTTTATTTGAGGAATCTTTGGATCTCCTGTGGCAACCTTTCAGGACTGTCTAAATGCTTGCTCTCACAAAACTCCTCCTTGGAGCTGCAGTTTCTGGCCAAACGTCCGCCTCACAAAGCACTCCTTCCTGTGCCTAGTGGCAGAAATAAGCAAACACCTGGTGGAACTGTGCGTCTTCTAAGCTAATCATAGAAACCATTCCTCATTCCAGTGCGCATAAAGTATCTTTGAGAACACTTTGATGGTTGAAAATCACTATGCAAGTCTGATGTTTTTTCATAAATGGCATAATGAACGCACTGTTGCGATGACTTGCTGAAAGCAGAGTGGCAGAACAAATAGGAGCTTCCTGAAGAAAGAAAAGCCCAATTTAAGTGTCAAGTTGCAAATTCAAATTTCTTTGAATTTGTGCTTAATGTATACAGTGTTTTTACAATAACTGAAGGTAACATAGTTACTTGATTGTACTATAAAATGGCACTATATGCCTGGAAAATATAAAATACTCCTTTAATAAATACTGACCCCTACAGACCAGAAGTACTCTACAGCAGTAGCTGATCTGAAGATGATTCACACATCATGTTTTGGCCCTTATCATACCCTGAGACCTTATGGTTATCCTCTTTATTCCTGTATCAAGGTCAGAATTTAAACACAGTTGTTGTAAGTGTTCCTCTTGCTAACTGCTGCCATAATGAGGAGACAATAAGCATTAGTTACCATTAGTTTACTGCACGGAGTCAATGTTTTTAATGTTTAGCTTTGTTAACGTATTCAAATTGTTGTTGTTTAAGCTTGATAAATGCTTTTAATTCTGCCTATTAGTGATCTCTTGCTGATTTATATCAGTAAAAAGTCTGTGCAAGAGGAAAAAAGATGAAGACACTGTCTAGCCTGTTACTGAAGAGACTGTTGCTGTATGATTCCACAGTTGGACTTTATCTGTAACATCCCAAAGAAACTCATAAGTTTGATCAAATATGTTGTCTGTTTCTCATTTTTTATTCCTTCCTTTGTTTCTGTGTTTGTCCTAGGATGATGCTTCGAGAAGAGGCGCCGAGTGCTCCCCCTAATAACATTGTGGCCAGCGGTCGCACAAACCAGTCCATTATGGTCCAGTGGCAGCCTCCTCCAGAATCCGAGCTTAACGGCATCCTCCGAGGATATGTCCTAAGGTGAACCCACACCAAACAAACACTGTAATCTTGGTCTGGTTTAAATCCTGGTTTAAAGAAAGAAAACAAACAATATGTGGGAATGATGTTATCCTGACACCAATCTCACTTTAATTTTGTGTGTGGCTCCAAATCCAGGCCTCCATTGGTTAATAACTTTGATTTCCATTGATGATTTTTGTGTGATTTTGTTGTCAGCACATTCAACTTTGTACAGAACAAAGTATTCAATGGGAATATTTCATTCATTCAGATCTAGGATGTGTTATTTGAGTGTTCCCTTTATTTTTTTGAGCAGTGTATGTATATATATATATATATATATATATATATATATATATATATATATATATATATATATATATATATATATATATATATATGTGTTTTGTTTGTTTTTTTT